CTTCCCACGGCAGATACTTCCAAATATTCGTAGGTAAACGTACCTACTAGGACTTGAACCCGAAACCCGCTCGTGGAAGGTTGGGTGCCTAGACCACTAGGCTGCGGGATCTCAACCCCTATTATTGTTATATATTACTATAAGGTGTATATAAATTCTATTTTAAAATTTTTAAATATTAAAAAGTTTGTATTAATTGTTAAAACTTTCTCAATTATATATTTTTTTAAAAAAATTAATACTCAAAAATATTATCTAACTCTTCCCAACTATTACTTGAACTAAAATTTCTCACTGAAGAAAAACTAATCTCTTGTTGAAAAGTTGTAGTCTAATATTGTAGTTTGTCTAGAAGTTAACAGTTTTTCTCTTCTAGGACTTCTTTATAAAATATGCATTTGACATGCAAGCCAAGAGCATTAGTATACAAGATAACTAGCTAGAGATGTGTACTCTTGGATACAAAATCTTGGTGGTAAAACAAAAGTCTTTACTGTTAACAAAGCACTTAGACCATTACTTCAAAGAAGAACACAGAAAAAATAACAAGAGTTTAGGCCTTTTAATATACTTCTTTGGTTTTTTTAAAAATACTTACAACTGTATACCTTTTATCTTATTTTTGCTATTTTGGAATTTTGCACATATATATTGTGTGCCAGATTATGCATGTTGTCGATCATAGATCATCAATTAACCTGACACTCCTCCTATTAATAAATTTGAAAGTTTTTTTACACTTTAGCGATGATTTCTCAATAAGTACTTGATCAAATTCAGTAAACTTTTTTTTATTTTAATTCTATAGGCTTGTAGAATTAAAATAAAAAAATTTTATTGGATTTTATTTGCTGGTTGTCAAGAAATCATCGCTAAATGTTTTGAAAAAATTAAAATATCTTCAAAAAGAAAATCAGGTTGATTTTTCCTTCTTTGAACTTTAAATAAAGATTTCTCAACAGCCGATTATCCAAATTCAATGAAAATTGGTTTATTTTAATTCTGTGAATTCATGGAATTAAGGTAAAAAATTTTCAATCAAATTGAATAGCAGGTTGGTGAGATATCTTCATTAAAAGTTAAAAAAAAATTTGGCTGCAGCTTTTTTTTTATAGGCATCTAAGCTATGAATAAAGATTACTCAGCAATTATCTGATCAAATTTGATCAATTTTTTTTTTATTTTAATTCTATAAGCTTATAGAATTGAAATAAAAAAAAATTGATCAAATTTGATCAGATAATTGCCGAGTAATCTTTATTCATAGCTTAGGTGCCTATAAAAAAAAAAAGCTGCAGCCAAATTTTTTTTAACTTTTAATGAAGATATCTCACCAACCTGCTATTCAATTTGATTGAAAATTTTTTATCTTAATTCCATGAATCCACAGAATTAAAATAACCCAATTTTCATTGAATTTGGGTAATCGGCTGTTGAGAAATCTTTATTTAAAGTTCAAAGAAGGAAAAATCAACCTGATTTTCTTTTCGAAGATATTTTAATTTTTTTCAAAACATTTAGCAATGATTTCTCAACAACCAGCAAATAAAATCCAATAAATTTTTTTTATTTTAATTCTACAAGCCTATAGAATTAAAATAAAAAAAGTCTACTGAATTTGATCAAGTACTTATTGAGAAATCATCGCTAAAATATAAAAAAACTTTCAAATTTATTAATAGGAGGAGTGTCAGGTTAATTGATGATCTACAATCGGCAACATGCATAACCTGGCACACAATATATACGTGCGAAATAGTTATACTCTACCCTTAAACCTTCTCATAATTTTTATAATTTTCCAAATACCCAGAATTATGAGAATTATGACAACAATTAAGGGAAGTAAAAACCCAAATAAGTAAGAATAATGAGAACTAGGAGAATTTTGAAAATGATTAAGGTGGGGATTAATAAGTGAAGTAAATATGTAAAGCCTCAATTAAAAATAGAATATCAAAATGTACTTACTAAGAGCACTAAAGTTATAAAAGCACTGGCTGTTTGCCTTAAATAAAAAATACCTTATTAGAGTTTTAAAAACTTTGAAATTATTATTAGTAGAAGTTGTTACTAAAATTACTATTTTTGAAAATATTCTTAAAAGAATATTTGATAAACCCTTTTCTTACCCTGTTACCTCATTAGAAAATTATAGTTGATTGTAAAGTTTGAGCCTTCAAAATTGAGTAGAAGTACTCACTCTAAGTTATCTGTCTTTATTTTTTTTTTTTGTCTTTAAAAATACATATCTACTAAATTATTATATACCCACTAGTGCATAATTGTTGTCAATAGTAAGAAACCTGAGACCAAAAAGAGAGCCCAATTTTGTTATTTTACACTTTTATATTAGACTAGTTCTGTTATCTTCATGATTTATTGTTAGTGACATTTATCGAACAATACTGCAATAAAATCAATCATCAAAATTATACATGATTTGTAACATCACTGGTAAATTAAAGATCTGATCCTGATATCTCTTGCCCATGATATGGATCTGAGAATCTTAGATTAAATCAAGTATTAAATTTCCAACAATTATTACTATATAATACACAAGTAGGGTTGTAAACTTATGGTAAGTTTTAATTTTTTAATGTAAGGTAAATTATAGTATGTAACTTATATATAAGTATGTAAGTTATATAATTATTATATAAATATATATAACAAATATATACAAAATGTAGTATATAATTATATTTGACTTTTACTAAAGCGCATATATGATGTTTTAGACCTATGTATATATTATCAAAAAACTGGCTAATTAATTGGTACAAGAAACCCTTTCAAAACCCTAAATACTAAATCCTTACAATAAAATTATGCAAAACATAATTTCGATATCATATTTTATTTCTTTATTTTGAAAATTTTTGCTAGTCAATTAGCAATGCAAACAAAGTCACTTGTTTTTGCTTTAAATTCAAAAAATGAAATAATTAATTATCTGAGATATTGATATTGCAGCAAACATTTGAATTTGCGCAAATAGACACTATGAGTAAGTAATTAAATGGATGATTCTCAAAAATAAAACCTTTATGATTAAGATTGAATAAAATCTGGAAATACAACTATGTATATTGATTTACTAATTTTAATATAATATATCCCAAATACAATATCTAATTCTTCACACAGTACCCATCTAAATTTGACTCTAAACCAACTTTATTAATTTCTTGTATAGATATTAGTGTCAAATTATAGTTAGGCAATTATCATGTTATCTTTGTAAAGTTTAAATTAAATTACTATCAAATTTTTGATAATATTCAAACATGCCAATTCTTCTTTATATTATTAACCAACTATAATTATTCTATTACAACCAGTAATTCTTGCACTATAGCCCAATTAGAGCTGAATATTAAAATTTATTAAATCGCTTAAAGCCAGCTAGTGGTTTCTCACAGGCTGGCTATTAACATGAGGTTTTGTGACTAGAATAGAAATGCATAGAATTGGCCAGTGGTTTCTTATATGCATAACACAGGCTAGCAAAAATAGCAGAATTCTTTGAGAGTATAGGGTGGTATGAATATGACTTGCTTAATGGAGATTTTGCCATTGAGCACCTATAAATTCGGCTTTATATTAGCATATATTTTTATATTAGTATCTTGTTTTAATTTAGCAATTCATTAAATTCATACTCATCTACGTAGTGAAATTAAGATACTAATTCAAAAAGGCAAAATATCAAAATGATTAACATATAAATCTAAATAAAGTGCCAGATAATATTACTATAAAAGAATAAGTTTGTAGCCATGCGCATAAGTTAAAACTAAACTAATAAAAAATAAAGCCAAAAAGAATAAGCAATTATAATTGTAGATTAAAATTTTTCATAGAAATCTGAAAAGGTAAAGTGCCAAAATAATAAATAAGATGTTATTAAAGTAATATTACTATAATGGGATAACTGAGAAGTTTGTTGCTATATGTATTGTAATTTTAGTATTTACAACAATTGAAAAAAATTAAAGGAAAGCAAATACTAATGTAACGAATAATAAAGCTAAAAAAAGTAAAATGATTATAATTGTTAAGTTAAGAATGCTGAGGTAAAAAGACAAACTGAACTTCTCTTTTGCAATTTTATTATAAATAAGAGTAAATTTTACCTTTGTAAATACCATGCCCATGCGTATAAAAAATAAATAAATAATTATTTGTTTATGATTATCGCTTTATTTTCTTATATAGTTTTACTACGCAACCACCAACCTTGTTCAGCTTTGCAAAATCATTTTTTACACATTTAGTAACTAGTATTTTTTTGAAATATTATATACCTTTATATTGCCATGAGAAAAAAGTGATTACTGGGATAATTATGAAGAAGTTAATGTGGATGGAAAAGTTCGGTTTAAATGTATACTTGGTTGTGAAGATAGTTGGGTGAAAAATGAAACAAGACTCAAAGAACATTCAGAAAATTGCAGTAAGCAAACAAGAGCTTCAAATTATAATCAAACTACTCTTGACAACAATAACAAAGTTGTATCAAAACAAAGTCAAAAAGTTTATGAAATACTTTTAACCTGTGCATTTATTTCTTTGGGTATTCCTTTTAATGTAATTGAAAATCCTGATTTTCTTGCCTTTTTACAAAAAACTAATCCAAGTTATACTGTCCCTTCTCATTATAGAATTTCTAATAGTTTGCTTAACCAAGAATATAGTCATATTAGTCATATTATTAATAATTTATTTTTTAAAGCTAAATATTACTGTTTGACAAGTAATAGGAGATCAAATATCAACAAAATATAGATTATTAATTATATAATTACTATTCCACAACCAATTTTTTATTGATCTTTTGCTACTAAAGAAATTCAAAATACTGCTGAAAACATTGCATCTGGCATTGAAAATATTATAAAAGAAATAGGTAGTGAAAATTTGTAGCTATAATTACAGACAATGCAAATAATATGCAAAGTGCTTGGAATATTTTAAAACAAAAATATCCTCAAAAAATGTTTCTTGGTTGTTGGGCACATTTGATTAATCTTTGGGTTAAAGATATTATTAAGCTTGATTGGACTAACCAAATTTTGAATAATGCTACAAATATTGTAAAGTATTATCATAAACATGAAAGAGTTTTAGCAACCTTATACCATTTACAACAAGAAAAATATAGACATGAAATTGGGCTTAGGTAAAATTTAAAAATGCAATCAGATTTAAAATTAATATTACACAACTAATATAATGAATTTTTAAAGTTTAATAGTTGCTACTAGATGAAATTCCACTTTTAATTGTCTTGATATTTTATTAAAAACTAAAATTGCATTACGTTCCACTTCAACTAAAGAAAGTATCATAATAGCTGAAAATATTCAAACTCTTATTTGGCAGGTTAAATTTAAAACACTTATATGATTTTTTAAAACCATTTGCTAACTTTATTTATATGATTGAAAGTAATCATTTACTTTTGTCTACAGCATATGTAAAATTTAATAAGCTACAAAATTTTGTAAAAAATAATCAACAAATACCAAAAGAAATCTCCAGTCAAGCAGTTAAATTTGGAAATAACCGATGTGACAAGTTTTTTTATAATTATGCAATAATGGTTGCTTATAAATTAGATTCATGTTATCAAGCTGAACTTTTAAATTCTTTAGAATAGGATGAATTAATTGAAGAGAAATTATTCAACTAGCTGGTAATAAACCTTCAGAATTAGTTTTGAAAGAATTAGCAAATTATATTGGCAAAATTGGTCCTTTTTCTAGCACACATTTGTGGAACAAATTTAAAGAAGTTCTAATTAAATAGTAGAATTTAGTAAGCAACTGTGCTTCAAATTTAAGTGAAGTTGCACTTAAAGTTTTTTCAATACCTGCATCATCTGCTTCAAGTGAAAGAAACTGGTTTACATTTGGGTTTACTCTTTCAAAAAATCATAATAGATTGAATGTTAAACGGGTTGAAAAATTAGTTTATCTTTATTGGAACTTAAGAATTTTACAACAATTAAATCAACTAATCAATTATAATTATAATGGTTTAGATATTAATATTAATAAGACTATGATGGTATATTTAACTCTTTTCAATGATCACTTGAACCATATTTTCTAAAAAAGATTTTACTGCAAGAAGAGACCTTACAAGCCGGCACTTGATCTAAAAACCTAGACAGTAAGACAGCATCTGTCGTTTAGAAGTAGTTCTCATATGCTACTTGCCGACAGGCTTAGAGTTTATCACTCACTGCATAGTCTCAGCACTTGTCGTTTAGAGGCAGTTCTCATACGCTACCTGCCGACAAGCCTAGAGTTTATCACTCACTGAAAAAAAGGTTGAGCAGGTGTTGGGCAGTGGGTCTTGACTGTAGAAAAGAAAACTCACACTCCTTTAAA